TGTGCACACATGTGTTCTGTCTCTATTGAGATTAGCAATTTCTAAGTACAGAGGCTGCATTAATGTGACTTGAAAACAAAGGCCTCTGCATGTGACAGAAACTCTACTTTAATACGTACAAAAATATGCTGCAAATACAGGATTTACCTTCATAATACAAACTCTGAACAAGCCATAATACCTGAAATAGCCTAATCTAAGATCCAAACTTTCCTACAGTATTATGAAAGGGTAATCAGACCATGACGTTTTGATTTTAAATTTCACACTTATGTAGAGATGTACAATTCTGGTCAGTAATTTTTGTATGTGGGGGTTTTTCTCCACACTACCAAGAAACTTTTGGACACTAGCTGGGTGTTGTCCCACAATTCAACTCAATTCTGACACCATCCACCTGGAGACAGTATCAGATCCCACAGGTTAAAGGTTCAGCCCTAGAAGAACGTCCCCACCCCTCCATCACTGCAGATGCCAGTTTCAACCCAGGTAGTCCCCTGTGTTTTGACCAACCAGCCATAGGTTGGATGGTCCAAAGAACCCCCCTCCCTGGGTTTGATTACTTTGCTAGAGTACTTACAGAACTCAGAGAAACATTTTACTTACTAGAGTACCAGTTTATTATAAAATGGTATAAACTCAGAACAGCCAGATGAAAGAGATGCATAGGGTGAGGTATAAGGAAAGGGCACGGGACTTTCACGTCCTCTCCCAGCACCCTACCCTCCCCAAATCTCCACGTGTTCACCAACCAAGAAGTCCTCCAAACCCCGTTCTTTTATGCTTTTACGGAGGCTTCGTTACATAGGTATAATTTGCTAAATCACTGGCCTCTGTAATTGATTCAACCTCCAGGCCCTCTCCTCTCCCTAAAGGTTGGGGAGGGAGGACTGAAACTTCTAACCGTCTTACGGTGTGGTTCGCTCCCCTGGCAACCAACCTCCAGTCTTTAGGTTACCTAGGCACTTTCCCAGAGTCACCTCACTGACATAACAAAAGACACCTTTATCTCTCATCACTTAGGAAATTCCAGTGGGTTTAGGAGCTCTGTGCCAGATACACATTTCTTTTTATAAATCAAAATATCAGTATCACAATATGCATACATGTGAGTATTCATAGTTATGAATATTTAAGGTCTAAAGCACAATACAACAAGCACTCATATATTTACCACCCAGATACGAGTACCCGCAGGCATCCTCTCTGCTCACCCTCCTGTCCTTCCTCAGACATAACCCTAACACTGAATCATCTGCCATTCTGTGGCATATTGCCCAAAAACTGGACACCCATTTTCCCATTCCTGTATGGTGTACGCTTTTGCAATGAGATTTTTAACTCTTCTCATGAAGAGGAAGAATCTGCATTTCACTACATCAGGTTTTCTTGACCAGTTTGACTGTGACAGTGAATGATCCGTGTCATCGTGGCTGAGGCATGGTGCCCAGACAGGTGGTCAGACATTATCCTGACTGTTTCTGTGAGAGTGTTTTTGTATGAGATTAACATTTAAATAAGTGGTTTTTGAGTAGACAGATTGTACTCCATAATGAGGGTGGGCCTTATCCAAGCACTCGAAATCTGAATAGAGCAAAAGATGGACCTCCCCAGAGCAAGAGAGAATTCTGCAGAAGGGAGAATTTAAACCTGAACTGCGACATAAGATTTTCCCTGGGTCTCCAGACTGCTGGCCACGCTGCAGATGTAGACTTGCCAGCCTCCATCACTGCATGAACCACTCCCAATCCATCAATACACACACACACACACACACACACACAGGTGCTGATTCTCCAGAGAACTCTAATATATTGGTGTTTAATACAAACAAACAAACCACAAAGCACAGTCTTACAAAACGCTTGTATAAGTCTTGACTTCTGCAAGACTTGTGCAAGCGCTACTCCTTGAGAACTTGTGACTACCACCACCAGAACAAACCAGGGCTAACCAGCTAAATGATAAGGCATAGTTAACTCCATCATGCATATCAATAGCAAGCCTACTTCCAGACATGGAAAGAGAAACTCAACTTATCAGTTACTTACAAATGCATGATCAATCCCAGTCAACACACCTCAAAATGTAGCATCTTATAGCAACAAATCTTTATTATCTCATATAGTTTCTGAAGATCAGGAATCAAGAGTGTCTTAGCTGGTGGTTCTGACTCAGAGATTTTTACTAGGTTGCAGTTAAGCTACTAGTCAGAACAGGAGCTATTTCAAAGCTTGACGCTGGCTAGAAAGTTTGCTTCCAGGATCACAAATATGGTTGATGGTAGGTCTTAGTTCTTAACAGGCTATTGGCTGCACATTTTACATCCTCATGTATCCATAAGGCTACTCACAATGTCTCAGCTTGCTTTCTCCAGAATAAGTGATCCAAGAGGGAAAGCAAGAGATTACCTAAGACAGAAGTCAAAATCTCTTATAATTGAAACTTGGAGGAAACATACTAGCAGGTCTACCATACACATTGGTCACACAGACTTTCCCTGGTAAATGAAGCCATGGACTATGACACATGTATTTATGAAGAGGAAGGGATCACTGGGTCCTTTTCAGAGGCTGGGTAGCACAGAATTTATGTCTTTCAAAGAAGATTTAATAGTAATTCAATTTTAATACATCTTTTGGTGAATTTAGATACCTTATTTTATATGGGTAGTTACCATTTTAAGTGGCTTTTTAAAATTTTACATTTTTTAACATTTTCCTGAGAATATATAAAAATGAATACAATTGACTTGTGTATATTGAGCTTTTATACAGAGCTTTCCTAAACTTTTTATTCTGAAAATAAATTTGCACTTTCATTTTTTTTGACAAAAACCTAGTCATGTAATTAACTACTGAGAGCTCTATTTCATATGTTCTAATTTCTCTCTCTTACTCATAGAGTGATAGCAGGTATTACTTAGCTAATCTAAAACTAACTCTTTTAACCTTCATCATTATGATGCTTAATCTATGTTTGGCATTTAACCTTTAGAACAGAAGTCTCCTCTATTCTGATTTAGCTATGAATTTATTTTAAAATGGATGGATGCTGAATTTTATTTAATGTTTTTACTACATCCAGTGAAATGATCATCCCTGTTTGTTAATTTAATGTATTAATGTGACTAATGTGGCTAATTACACTATAGATTTCCTTACATTTAAACCAATCTGGCACTAGCAAAGATAAAGGCAACTTGGTCATGCCCTATTTTAATACACATTATTTTACCTTGTATTGTTATTAACGTGTTTTCATCTGTATTCAATGAAATAACTTGTATTTTTCTGGCATTATAATATCTTTGTTAGTTTTGATATGTAGGTTACGTGGGACACATAAAATTTGAAAAAAGTTTCTTCCAATTAAAAAAATTAACTTTGAAATTGTAACTACCTATTTTTGGTAGAAATCGTCTATAAAATCTCTGGGTCTGGTACTGTTTTAAAACACTTTGAGGTCAAAATATACTTTACCTGCAATTGAATAGTTTTAAGGGTTGTTTTTATTGAGATGTTTTATTTTTTTGAGCAAAGGTTCACTTTTTAAAGAATACTTCTATCTTATGTACATTTCAAATTTCAAATATAATTTTTAACAAACTAACCACATAATCTCTGCTGAATGTATGCATATATGTACACATTTATGTCAACTTTTCAATTCTAATATTGTTTATTTCTAACATGTTTTATTTTTTATAAGACATTCTCAAGCTTTTCAGTTGAATTAGTCTTAAAACCAACTTTTAGCTTTGTGGTTTTTCTCTACTATATATTACTTTCATTTCTCATTAACTTTCATTTTTACTCATGCTTACCTTTGATATTACTGAAGGTTATTCTATGACTACTTTGAACCTATTTAATTCAGTGCTTAGCTTACTAATTGTCAGACTTTTTCCTATCTTTTCTAATGTTGGCATAAAATGTGATTGAGATACATTCATTGTTACTCATCTTGGAGAATTTTTTAATTTCAAAGTTATTTTATAAATGGTTCAAAATTATTTTCTTGAGTGGTTCACTTAGAATTTTTAAAATTTTTCAGAATATTTGGGTTATTTAATATTTTAAAATTTATTTCCCCTTAAGAACTTAAGATTTTGGCCTTGTAAATGATTTTACTTCCATATTTGTTCATAATATGTATTTTCTAATAGTTTCCTTTATATGATCACCAGGACTGTTTTTTTTAATCTAATTCCACTTCATGTTGTGTTGCTAAATGTCTCCCACTATGAATGTCTATTTCTCTATTTTAGTCTGCCAATATGTAACTTATGTATTTTGGAACGATTTCACTGATACACAACATGTTTAATAGTGTACATTTTTCTCTGCAAATGAACATTTTCTGCTCAATTTTTTCCTTAAATGATTTAATTGTAGTACAGTAGTTATACAAATATTCTCTAAATTTTTTTTTTCATGGAATATTTTTGTTTGCTATTCTTTCCCTTTGAATACTTTCATGCCTCTACTGCAGATATTTATTTCTTGTCCTCAGAAATAAAGAACAGTTTCAGAGGGACCAGTTTTACATCCATGTCACACGCTATCAGCAGGTTCACTGAGCAAATAAACCAAGATAGTCTGGTTTGGAAATAACTGAATTGCTCTATGGAATATCTTTATTTTCCTTTAACATGGTATAAAAAAATCTCACACTTATGCACTGGCTTAATAGAATCCCCTGGTCTTTCATTACTGTGGCTTGAGTGGCCCTCAGAACTCACATCCCCAGCACAGGCATTCCAGAACATTTGTATTCAATAGCTCATTAATACTTGACTTTCACCACCTAATTTAGAGTTATACTGAGAACATTCTAATAATGCTAATTGAGAAGAGGACAGCTAATACAAATTACACAGTCAGACAAATGTGGTAAAATGAATAGTTTCAAGATGAATATTTTTCTAAAAAAAAAAAGCAACATCCATCCTTCAAACCACCAAAACTAAAACTAAAATAAAAAACAAAAAGTTATACCCGTGATTCTGCTCACTCTTCCTTGTGGGATCTTTGATATTACGACGCAATGTCTTGATTCCTTGTATAGACGTGCAAACCCGGAAATATGACACTAAAGCCCAGGGCTCACCAGGGCATTATTTAAAAAGAACTGCCGGAAACCTTTCAGAGCCCCACTTATTCTTGTGTGTGGATTTACAAATATATACACAGGCTGTGAAGTAGTTTCCTCTCTAAACATCAATAATCATAATCAAATCACACAGATTAAAGTTGTCTCTGTCCTTTGTCAAAAAGAAAATAATTTGTCGGTTACTCCATGCATCTTCAGAAGATGTTTGTCAGTGTCAGAATAGCTCATGCAGCTCCATAAATACAGCACTGATCTGGTACTATTTTGCTTGCTCCATACGGCTTAAGCAGGGAAACTTTTCCCTGAAAATTGTCTTATTTCCTAGTATTTTTCACAAGGAAATTGTTTATAGGTCATTCATCAGTTTTATGGCCTTTTCCCCCTGATTTTAGAAAGCGGAAGCTTGTTCAGTATTCAGTCACATACAGAGCAGACTCATTACAGGACTGTCAATGAGCAATTTACCAAGCAGAAAGTCAAATTAGCTTCACTGGAACGCTGACTGCGGTGTGCTACCCTCAGTGAAAGTAGCAAGTAAAATTTTACCCACAACTGGTTACGTAGGGGTAATTAAAACCATTAATCTTTTTATTGATCTTTGACTCCGTTGCCTACTATATTTAGCAGATAAGATTCATGAGCTACTGGAGTGTGTCCACTGTCACAGATCTCCATCGATAGATATCCCCTGAAGAGGGCTCCAGGGTAAAAGAGCATTTATCTGATTTATGCCTATTATGTGGTTCCTTCAGCCCTGAAACAAATAACTGTTATGCTTTATTAAGAAGCAATATTTGCAAACTGCAAATCCCGTGAACTTCTCTCATGCTATGGAAAAGTATCACATAGTAAGTGCGTTTTGAGTCATATCTGCTCCATTTAATTTTTATTTTTGAAGGCGAGATGGTTCTCCTTGATGAGATCCTAAATGCTATAGGGCAATGTATAATTTTATACTCAGGTGTTCTTTTAAAAAAGTAAATGTTTGATCTCATCAGCCAAAATTATGTCTCTGAAGTGGTAACAGTCCATCACAAAAGCATGCTTGGTTCACAGATCATTGATACAGTTAGTTTCAGCAGATGTTTAGGTGCCATTATAATCGTTCTCATCCATTTGACCATCATAAAAGCTAGACCCACGTGTCCAACTTGGGCTATTATTTCTGCAGGGCTCGGCTCTCTCATACTATGAACAACTGGTACTTTACAAAACTGGATCATCAATCAGTGGCCTTAGCCAATTAGGGAATTTTTTTAATTAGGCATGTGGTAGCTACTCCGAATATTTATTGAGGAAAGTAAAGTGTAAGATTAGCAGATATTTCACTGTGGGTTCCCATGAGGAGGAGAAATCAATACAAGCCTGGGAGGTTGGTACCTTGACAGCTGCAGTCTTGGGAACTTAATGGTAAGTGTCCAAGCCCAGTCAATGCTGGCTACAAATTTCATGTGAAACTAATCAGTGCCAGTGCAAATAAGTTACCCAGTTCTTACGATTTTACTGATCAAAAAGGCAGAAATCTTGTAATGTATGTAGTGAACAGTTCTCATTTGAAGGTTGCTAGTGTCTATTTATGGGGAGAGCACTCATTATCTTTTTGCTTTGGTGAGAGTCAAGAGCCCCTCTCCTTTACCAAAACAGAAGGCAAGCAAGTAGGTCTTGCGAAAAAGAATCAGCTTGAGGGACTAGATTTTGCAAAACTGGACAGAACCAGGCAAAGATGTTCCAGGGGACTGGAGGCTAAGCCCACAGTGATGCAGCGGGAGCTGCTCACCAGTGGTGACCACCTGATATCCTGCTCCGTGACCCTGGCTTGTTCTCAAGGCCTTAGGCTTATTCGATTCTTCCTGGTTTCTTAAGCCACGTTCTCCAGATCGCTGACCATTCAGGCTGGCCATTCAATAACCCTGCCATCATTTCTTTTTTTCTTAGTTAACTAGAGCTCACCTTCGTTGTTTTAATCAATAATCATGACTTACGTACCTTGTTACTAGGTATGCATGCAGCTAGGTATGTCTGTAATGCCGTAACTCATGCCCTTTGTTGGATTCTCCTGGCTAATGAATATCAGTTGTCATAAGATGTCACCATTTCTCTTTACACAGATTAGTATCAGTCATTTTATCCATCTCTGGACCGCAGACTTCAAACCTCAAACCTCTAAGTCCAAGCCAAGACATCTAAACTTACCTACTTCTGATAAGTATTTTAATACCTCTTGGGCTCAGAACCTAACAATTTTTGTGAGATACTAAGAGGCAGAGGCTCAAAATTCACTCATTAACATGCTCTACACATTGTCAAGAAGGGTTTAATAAACATTGTTACAAGTATAGTAAATAAGTAAATGAATAAACTCATATTTCTATTTCTACTCTATTTATAATAGTAATCAAGCCTTATCAAATAGTCCTCCTACCTAGATGACTGAATAATTCACTCAATCATTCAGTAACCATTTATTAAGTACCAGGTAGCAGGCATTTGTTAACTAATGAAACACACATGGATTCTGCCTTTTGCTAGCATATTCCTCTTGGGAAGTAGACAATAAATAAATCACATAACAAATGTGTGTGTGTGTGTGTGAGAGAGAGAGAGAGAAAGAGATCTGTTATGAAGAAAACACACTGAATGCAGAGGTAGAGAATAACCCAATAACTGACTGAAAGAATAGTAAACAAAGACCCCTCAAACAACGCAACATGTAAAAAGGGACCCAGAAGTATGTAAAGGAATGAGCCATGAATAGAATGGGGTCAGGTATGTATATGTGTGTTGGAGGGAGGAAGGAGCAGAGAGGAAAGGAAAATGTGTGACAATTTCTGTACTACGAAGAGTCTGGACTAGATTAAAAGCTGACAGGAAGTCCATGTGGCTGGATTGTTGCAGGCTATGGAGAAACGGCAAGAAATGATGCTGGAAAAGTGGGCAGACATTTCACGTAATAAGTTACTATCTCTGGTACAGTTTTAAATTCATCCTGAGGAGAGTGGAAAGCAGTTGAAGGGTTTAAGGCCAAGAAGTGACATAATTTGATGTGTTTTTATGAAGCTGCCTAATACGTGGAGAATAAATTGAAGCTGTTAAAATTGGAGTCAGGGAGAACAGGACGAATGCAAGTGATGCTGCTGGTTAGACTAGAGTGGAGGCAGGTGAGAGCCAGAGAGAAGCTGACTGCAGGTAATTTTTGGAGATGGAAAATACAGGATTTGATTGACAGTCTGGAGTTAAAGGAAAATGAGAAGAAAAAAAATCCTGGGTAACTTCATGTCCCAAATATACAGTGAATCTTAAGGCTCTGAATAAAATGCAGTTAGTTCTACTCCTTGGTACTATTTCTATAAAGAAACCCCCCTCCCTCCCTCCTTTCCCCACTTCTCCCCCTTTCTCTCTTCTCTCTCTCCTCCCTGCCTCCAACTTCAGAAAACTTCTGAAAACAAGGCAATCTAGATATCGTAAAAACCTCTCAATACAAGGCAAAACGCTCTCTGACATAAATCTTAGCAATGTTCTCCTAGGGCAGTCTACCCAGACAATAGAAATTAAAAGCAAATACAAACAAATGAAACCTAATTAAACTTAAAAGCTTTTGCACAGCAAAAGAAACCACAAGCAAAACAAAATGAAAACCTACGGAATGGGAGAAAATATTTCCAAATGATGAGTCTGACAAAAGCTTAATTTCCAGAATATATAAACAGCTGATACAACTTAATAACAAAAAAGCCAACCCAATCCAAAAATGGACAGAAGGCCTAAACAAGCAACTCTCCAGTGAAGATATATAAGTGGCCAACAGGCACATAAAAAATGCTCAATATTGCTAATTATCAGAGAAACGCAAATCAAAACTACAATGAAGTATTACCTCAGTCAGAATGGCTATCATTTAAAAGTCCACAAATGATAAATGCTGGAAAGGGTGTGGAGAAAAGGCAACCCTCCTACACTGTTGGTGGGAATGTAGTTTGGTGTAGCCATTATGGAAAACAGGGTGGAGACTCCTCAAAAGGCTAAGAACAGACTTACCATATGATCCAGCAATCCCACTCCTAGCTATACCCAGAGAGAACTCTAATTTGAAAAGATACATGCACCCCAATGTTCACAGCAGCACTATTTACAATGGCCAAGAAATGGAAACAACCTAAACGTCCACTGACAGATGACTGGATAAAGTTGTGGTATATTTATTCAATGGAATACTACTCAGCTGTAAAAAAGAATAAAATAATGCCATTTGCAGCAACATGGATGGACCTGGAGATCATCATTCTAAGTGAAGTAAGCCAGAAAGAGAAAGAAAAATACCATACGATATTATTCATATGTGGCATTTTAAAAAAGAAAAAAGAAGACACTAATGAACTCATCTACAAAACAGAAACAGACTCCCAGACATAGTAAACAATCTTATGGTCCCTGGGGAAACGGGGGTGGGAAGGGATAAATTGGGAGTTTGAGATTTGCAAATATTAAGTACTCTATATAAAAATAGATTAAAAAAACAAATTTCTTCTGTATAGTGCAGGTAACTATATTCAGTATCTTGTAGTAACCTTTAATGAAAAAGAACATGAAAACAAATATATGTACATGTATGTATGTATGACTGGGATATTATGCTGTATACCAGAAATTGAGACACTGTAGCTGACTTCAATTAAACTGAAAAGTTAAAAAAAATTTTAAACCCTCTCAATACAAAATACAAAAAGTTTAGAACATACTATTCAAAGCGCATTTGAGATTGCAGTCATTTAAGTCAAGGACACAATCATTCTTGTCACCTTCTTGTTCAAGATAATTCCCACTTTCTCCTGAAGGCCTGGCTTTCCCTGGGGGTCTGTCAGGCAGTGGCTGTATCTTCTCTGCACAGTTCTGTTCCTCTAGGAGTGGAGATGATCTAGCTGTCCATGATACCCCTTCACAGATTTTTAGAACATTCCCTCTTCTCCAATGACAACAACATTCAACCTTGAATCCCATGTTATCATATTCTGTTACCAACTACTCCACAATTTTTCTTTTACCTATCTAACCCCTAGATCGTTTCTTCTGGTTCCCCTTTTAGCTCTACCAGAATT